GCGCGCGCGGACACGCAGCGGGGCTCGGCCGTGCGCAGACACACGCCCGCGGGCACGGGCACTTTCGGAGCCGCGCCAGTTACAGGGCAGGTTGCCCACAGATGACATTATACACGTCGTCCCAGACGGTGCCTTAAACGCCTGGGGTTCCTTCCCAGAGAGCGTTAACTACATAGACACACAGGACGCATGCACACTCGTGTATTTCTCTTTCCCAGCACCACCAATGCCATACATAATGGTTGGTAACACTAGTTAGTATTTCCCACAGTTCATGTGTTGTTTCCCATACCTTAACTCCTTTTATCCTCACTACAAGTGTCTGAGGTAGGTAGCATTATTGTTCCCATTTTCCCGGGGAGACTAAGGCACAGAGGAGCTGAGTGATTTGCGCATGTCCTGGGCTGAGCTGAGCTTCAGCTGGCAGTCTGGCCCCCAAGTTCATGTTCTTAACTGCTCTCGAAACCAGGGACCCAGGCAATGGGTTTCTAGAAAGCTCTTTCCACCAGCTCAGCTCACAGTGAACGCCACTTTCCCGGGACTCTGGAAGAAATTCGTGTGGGTACCCCTTCACCTCTGCTGACTATTAAGTGATGCTTCCCTTCACTTGCTTTTCTGCTGTAGTCACCTTGACAGCGCCAAGACTGCAAACACTTTGAAGGCGAACACTGCGTGGCTGTCCCACATGCCTAGCAAATTGTGTGATGGGGAGGTGGGAAGAAATGAATGTTACTGGACCATGCTGTTGAGAACCAGGCCCACTTGCACTCCAGGGCATCTGTCTGGCAGGAGGAAGGCAGGAAAGAGATAAGGTCAGGCTGGACCTGGTTTAGGATGAGAAGCTGTTATCAACTGTTTATTGACTTCATTCCCAGCGGGGGTGGTAGATCAGGCTTTGATCTGGGGTCAGAGAAGGTATTGGTCATAGTGATACAATCCCCAGGTCAGTTCTGTGCTGAAAAGGAGGGCCATCACAGGCTGCCACCCGAGATCAGTTTTCCTCCTCCTGGCCTTTTACTCTCTGGAGAAGCAAACTCAATTCCTTTTCTTTCTGCCTTCTTGGTATGGCAGTTTACATGAAGAAAGAAAAGCCTCACCATTGAAAATAAAGTCTCGACCTGGGAAATTTGCAATTTCAATTTGTAGTTCCAGGAAAATTCAGGTAAAAAAAACTGTCACAAGTCAAATGGTGAAGGAGCACCTATTATCAGACTAACCTCATTTTAAGTGACAGAGTCTTTTAGGGTTGGTGGGTTGAGATGATGTTGTAGATGGACTTGAACTCAATCTTTAGCAAGACTTCTGTTTCAGTCCTGCATTCCACTCTTCTCAAAAAAGCTGGGTAAATATTCTTTAAAGCATACTGTGGACAAACTGGGCAGAAATCTATGGGTAACCTTACGAGTTGTCAGTGGATCAATATGTTCATGAGGACCATTATTTACCAAGGCTTAGTTCAGTGGCTTTATGTTTTTCTTTGTAAGTAGGAGGTCTGTTATATTTCCAGGTGACACCAAACTTAGCCAGGATGGAGAGGGGAAAGGAGAATGGATGGAAGAGCAGGAAGAAGGTAAGACAGGATGGGGGAGCCAGGAAAGGGGGAAGGGAAGTAGCATGTACTGAAGTCGATTACCTGTCAAGTTTGGCGTTAGCATTTATCAGCTCATTTAATCCCACCCAGTTTTTAGGTAGGTGTTATTTTCATTGAATACAGGAGGCAACTGACAGTAGGCCAAATTAGTTAACTCACCTGCAGCTAGTAAGTGGTGGAGCACAGGTCCAAACCCAGGGTTATCTGAGTCCAAACTTGTATATTTCAAGATGAATCTGGAGAGTCACTTCCTCTGTAAGGCCTTTCTAGATCTACTTTTATTCGTCCATTTCCTTCTTTGTGCTTGCATAGACTTCTGTCAAAGGACCTATAAGCTATATTTCACTTCACTTATTTCTCTATTTACTGATTCTCTGTTCCCAATGCTAGAAGTCATGAATGGATCGCTACACCGGGGTCAACAGAGATGGAAAAATAAGGCTACTTGAAAGCTGGAAACAGATTTCCTAGTGGTCTCAAAAGCCTGCCCCTACCCCATATTTAAATAAACAGAGTGGGAGAAGTAGAGTGGGGGAAAAACCCGAGAAAGAACAACAAATATGTGTTCAAGGGTAATTCTAACTGCTGCCATTAACTATGGGCTGTTAATGGCATAGTTGATACGGTGTATCAACTAATTCTATCCCATTAAGTAGGTCCTATTAATTCCATGTGACAGGTGAGGAAACAGGTTTAGAGTGGTGGTAAATCCACACTATAGCAACCGAATAGCTAATAAGTGGGATTTCAGCATGAATTTAAACCTAGGACCGTTTTGGAGTAAAAACTGTACCTCAAACCACTGTGGCAATTGTACCTAAAGAAAAATCGGGGTAATAGTTACAATGTATCAGGCCCTACTGAGGGCCAGACATTCGGTAGAAATTAGACGAGTTTCTCGTGGGAATGGGAAGGAAGACATTCTCAAGCCCAGGGTACTTGTGCCTTAGGCTCCCAGTGGCAGGATCTGTCAGGGGGCGGTGTGCATGCTGGAGGTGGGACAGTCGGCCTTTCTATGGGTGTGGGGGTTCCCTCCTGCTGTGCTGTGATCCTTCCCCTAAATGGAGGAATGCCGATGGACAGGAACCCACTCCCTC